GGAGAGATCTCATCGATAAACTTTAAGCTGGCATTCCAAAAAATAGTTGAAGATAAGAACATGACGGGTGGAACTTTGAAACTAATATTGTTGAAATCATTAAACAGCTTAAGGAAAATCAGAATCATATCATCCCAAAGCAATTTAAGGTGCAGAGAAACAACAACAATTTTCGGAGAGGAGTTAGGGGTTTCAGCAATAACAATAACAGAGGAGCCTTCCGAGATAGAGGCAGCAGAGATTGAGGTCACTATGGTACAAAATGTACCTCTTAAGCATGTTTTTATCATGATTACACAGTATCAAGGTTTAATTTGATATGTGTAGAAAGTGATTTAAGGTTGGTTAAAACTGAGAATTTTAAGGGGGGAAAGATTAAGTATTCTTTCAGCTTTGGGGAGAATTATCCAGTGATCCAAAGATAAAAGATACAGTTCAGAAAGAATATATGATATATTCCTACATTATTACAAGATCATGGATAAATTTGTTAATAGACATATAATTGAGAAAGCTAGATTTTTTTTTTTTTTTTTTTTTTTTTTTTTTTTTTTTTTTTTTTTTTTTTCAAAAAGTTTTCTTGGCCAGAGGAGGGATGGAAGTATCAGGATCATACATTAAGTCAAATGATTCAGTATGTAGAATTTCTTCATTTCAAGAAGGAGACTTCAAGACATTTTACCTTTGGTTACAAAGAATTGTTATTTCATATCTATTAACTTAAAACATGAATATTTTTCAGACCCACTATGCAAGAAGGATTGTTCATGGTTAAGCTCTACATGAAATGGAGAATTATGGTAATTTCCTTGTTTAACATAGGGGTTCTTTCCATCACCTAGAATTTTTACAAAGTTATTGAAGGTGCCATTTTCACTTTAGGCATTTCGACTACGATTTACATTGGCAAATTTTAAAGAAAAATTGTTAGATGTGAAGTACAGCTACACAGAAAACTATCATAAGAAGGGGTGTTGAAACATAGATTGTCAAACAGAACCTTATGTTACAGAAGGTTTGTTATTTTGGATATCAAATTTGTCCCGTACTAATTTATGTCTTGAATAGACATTCCGGAATTCATATTGATTCAATGTGAGATGATTTTATTTCCATAAGGGATGGAGTATGCCTTGCAATATTCAGACAAGCAACACATACCTAAAAGTAGTAGGAAAAGCAGGGGTATCAACAGTTTCATAGCATCAACTATATTTCAAAAAGTATCATTGCATGTGTCAGATTATTTAGCATGATTTTCTTATTATATTTTTCTGTGTAGCTGTACATTGTAGCAACATTGGATCAGTTGGGATTCACAATTAACCCCTTTCGATCCAGGTCATGTGACCATCATGTCATGAAAAACTTTGGGATGACGGCCATATGATGTGACTATGCCATCATGGGACAAAATGGCTGGTGGCCAGGTTACACGAACTTCCCTTTATGAACGAAAGGTAGGATGATAAAAAAGACCGCTATGAGTTCACAAACCTCTTGGAGGGTGATTAGATTCATTTGACATTTAGAAATGGGCATTTGCATCATTCCCATCAATAACCAAGTGTGGAATGTAACGTCTGTAAACTATGACTGGATGTGTGTCAGCTCCAGGGAGGATGCCATTTCCATGCTTAGCATCGTATTCTTGGTTGTGAACAGCGGCGTATGTTGTATTACAGAAAATTTAATATTACAAACAAAAAAAAATGGGAGAAATGACAAATAACAATTTTTATCTTTCTTTCTTTCTTTCTTTCTTTCTTTTTTCTTGCACTCTTACTGCTTAGAAAGATGATATGGATTCTGTGCAAGGAAAGACTAATATGGATATTGGAAAATGGTAAAAAAGCTAAAAATCTTTGTGCAAAATAACTTTGCAAAGTTAGGCATAGAGTCAATGCACACGAGTGCAAGTGTTCACGTGTCCCGGCCTATGCACCCCACACCCAGCAGAGTGGCCACTTATATAACCTAATTCCCTTATTTTCAGCCATGTGATTGCCATGAAGCAGCCGGATTCATGAGGTTAATTTGAAGAAGTCTTGAAAGAGAATGCTTGGGTTTTGAGTTAAATACCAAAGATATGAAAATAAGACTTACAAAATGGAAGGATGATAAGATCAGGAGTTTGGGTTAACAATTTTACAAAAAAAAATAAGATTACAGTCAGATTTAGCCAGTTTCATGGGTAATGTGGTTGCAGCAGGAGAAGCAGTACCATGGGCACCCTTAACCCGTTGCCGCCGGGCGGCACGTACGTACATGCCATGGCTGTTTTGGACTGAATGCCGGGGGCATCATGTCATGCCCATTCCTGTACTACTGGCTCGCCGGATGGAGGTTGTTTTTCTCTGATCGTAGCGGCTTCATTTATATGGTAAGGATTTTAGGCAGTGGCACCTATAATGAAGGTAAACCTTCAAAATTTTAATATTTTTATAAATTTTAGCAAAATAAAAGCTTTTAGGTGCTATATGTCGCTCACAAACTACCG